GAAAGATCCCAGAAGAAGCCTCAGAAGCAAGTTTTCTCTGACCTTCTCCTGCCCTCCTGTGTCTCACCCATCTTTTACCACTAAACCAAGTCATAGAAACCACAGAATTCCTCTTCCTCAAGGAACGCTGTAGAAGTTAGAACCCCTCTCCACCAAAGCAAGCCAAAAGACCTGGAAATATTACTCCAACTTCCTTCCTTTCTGTGTAGCAGTTGGTCATAAAAAAACAAACAAACAAACAAAAAACTCTGACCTATCTTGTCTGATAGTACAAGACCGGTACCTGAAAGGAAGGATGCTACACAGAGAGGCTGAGAAAAATCCCACCCGATAGGTCTTGCTGAGTCCCATCACACCTAGTCTATTATCATTACTCCTTCTGTCCAATCATATTTCTACATGGCTGTCTATTCTTTGTCAAATCTATGCATTAAAATGGACAGTTTTTTTCTGGGTCTTTGGGTCTTCATTTCTAAAGGCTCCCATGTAATGTCAAACTTTGATTAAATAAACTTGATATGCTTTATCTTGCTAACCTGTCTTGTGTTATAGGAGTGTCAGCTGTGACCTTTACGACGACAGAGGAAAGGTATCACAGCTCTTCACCCCTACAGTAGAATGGTGGTTGCCAGGAACTGGGGAGAGTGGAAAAAGAGGAGTTGTTGTTTCATGGGTATAAAGTTTTGGATTTGCAAAATGAAAGAGATCTGGAGATCTGTTTTGCAACAATGTGAACATACTTAACACTACTGAAATGTACACTTAAAAAGGGTCAAGATGGTTAATTTTATGATATGCGTTTTTTACCACTATGAAAGAGAGATGCTGGTAACAGTGGCCCGTGCCTGTAATGCCAGCTACTCGGTAACTGAGGTAGCAGGATCACTTGGGCCCAGGAGGATGAGGCTGCAGTAAGCTATATAGATGGTCAGCCACTGCACTCCAGCGTGGGTGACAGAGTGAGACCTTGTCTCTAAAAATTAATTCATTAAAAATAAATAAATAAATAAAAATAAAAGAGAGGGAGACATGAATTCTTGCCTAGCTCTGACTCTTTTGATGTTGTAACTTTGGAAAGTCACTTAACCTCTCACATTCAGCTTCCTTTTCTTGTTTAGATTATAGAGTTACTATAAAATTTAAATGCCATAGTGTGTTTGAATATTTTTCATAGACTAGATGGTGCTACACAAGTGGAAACCATTATTCTCAGTGAGGACAGAGTGGGAAATCACTTCTGGAGAATATCCTGCCTCTGAACATTGCAGCTAGAGTAATTACTGAAGCTTCCCTAAAACTAAAGTAAGATACCAATAAAAATGGAGAGCAAAACTAGAAATCAAGCACGCACTGAAGTGTAACATCAAAAAGAGGGCATTCACGGGCTATCTGAGTACCCACCCTCCAACCAAGGTCCATAGCCATGAGCAGGGAGGCAGGAATGGTGGTGTTCTTTCTAAGCAAAAGCAGAAGGAAGTCTGGCAGTGGCAGAAACAGCAAGTAGTGAAGATAGTAGCTGAAGGCACAAAACAAAGGACTATATCTATGTGTCCTTAGCACAGAAAAGACTCTTGCTGGCCCTTATGAGACACAGCTGGCTACATATAAAACCATCAATTTGCTTTTCCATCTTTGATTTACATTTTGTGAATGTCAAATGACTGACTTTTTTTTTATTTATTTATACATGTTTTTTTGAGACAAAGTCTTTCTCTGTTGCCCAGGCTGGAGTGCAGTGACGCCATCTCGGCTCACTGCAACCTCCACCTCCTGGGTTCAAGTGAGTCTCCTGCCTCAGCCTCCTGAGTAACTGGGATTAAAGGCATGTGCCACCATGCCCAGTTAAATTTTTGTATTTTTAGTTGAGACAGGGTTTCACCATGTTGGCCAGGCTGGTCTTGAAGTTTTGACCTCAAGTGATCCACCCATCTCAGCCTCCCAAAGTGCTGGGATTACAGGCGTGAGACACCACGCCCAGCCAACTGACTTTTTCTCATTTTGAAACTTGTATTTTTCAGACTGATGTTTTATTGACAAACTCAGTAGAAGTTTTGAGCATTGCAATTTTAGTTAGGCTTTTTCTGGTTGGAAGGAACAGAAGCTCAATCAAGTAAACACATAAAAGGGGGTGTGCATTATTTTGAAAATACATGTGGCATACTAAATGAGACATGTAACTCCTAGAATGACACTCATGAAAAGGTGGACTTGCCTTCAGAGCCATTCTTGAATCTTCCCTTGTGTTGCCCATAAACATGGCTTGGCTATACTCTACTTTCTATCCTTCAAAGACAGGCTAATTCTTTCTATGTTTCTTAGTTCAGATTGATACATTTGTTTTTTAAAGCCTGACCACAGAGTCACGAGGGGTCAGGTTATCAGGTAGCTCCTCTCAATCAGGTGGCCTTGATCTGGTGGTTGGGTGGAGAAAAAAGGGTGTCACGGCCAAGTAGAAAAATACACAGCTACCTCAAAGACAGGGGCTGTGGGCACAGCAGTTTCCCTAGAAAGGGTTATCGTCTGCCTTAGGAAGGCTGTTCATTACTTATGTCGGGGTCTTTGGGAGGATCCAATAAACAGTACCTCTCTTCCTCTCCTGGATTCTGAGAATATGGAGAAATAAAAGAGGCAAGCAAGAGATGAAATATTACCTTTGATTCTGATAAAGGGTAAGTTAGAAGATACAGCTTTGTATTAGACATAGGAAATCTGCTAGTGGAATGCAAGAGTTATATAGACTTCTCCATTTAGTCACAGGAATTACAGGGACAAGCAGAATTACTCCATGTAGACTAGACTCCAAGCTTACTAGACAAGACTTAAGATATAGAAAAGTATTGACAAATTCCTGTTTCCTTTAGAGAAAAAAAGGGAGAAGAGAGGTCATACATGGCCACTTTATTCTTCTCAAATTTACCAGTAAGATTAGTCACTTCACCATACATGGAGCAGAGTGGGGAAAGTGATAGAAAGAGGCCGGGGGTGCTATGGTCATTGAGTTCCCTTCACAAGGAAGGAAACATGGAGAGGAGAGAAGATACATTCTCCCCAACAGTTGGCAACTCCATCACAATGAGAGCAATGATTGACTCAGACCAAAAAGATAAATAGAGTAAAAGATTTTATACTCAGGGAACACATTGATAGTTTAAAAGTCTTAACAGTACGCATCAGTTTTAAAAGAGAAATGTTATTGTGCTGGTATTTGGCAGGCATTACCTGATTGATGAAAGCCTGCAGATACAAATATTCTGGAACTGCTGATTATTTTTTGGTATTTATTAATAAAATAGTAAGTATCAGATAATTGACTCAAAGGGGACCCTCTGCAGGTCTCTGAACTTGCTTTATGCAGCTCTTTTGCTCTGGTACTCTGCCCTGTTAACTCGCTACCTGGACCCCTCCAGACTCCCAGCAGCTCCATCCAGCTTTCTAACACAGAGTTAGGACAACAAGGGAGCGAGCGTGTAGGATCTGGATTTGGACCTCCTGTGTTCAAACCCCAGCTCTTAGTCACAGGTCATGTGACCTTGGCATATCACTTGACCTCTCTGCATCTCAGATTTCCTATCCGTAAGATGGGAGTAATAATAGAACCTGCCTCTTAGGATTGCTAGGAGAATTTATTGAGTTAGTGCATATGAATCACCTAGCACTGTGCTTGGCACCTGGTTTTGCCCAGTAAGTGTTAGTACTTAGGATGATGTGGTGATGAAAGCAGTGCTTTGTGTAGCAACATCGTAGTAGGAAAATGGGCAATGCTTACAATGCTTTCTTGGCTTCAAGTGTGAAGAAACATGCTCAGAAAGCACTCAGTATGATTTAGTTTAGCATATGAGGATAACAGTATTTGGGTGATAAACTCATTTATGCTACTGGCTACGTAACCACTAAATCAAAGGTCTTTAGTATAACACCCTAGCAGAGCAAAAGATGATGATGTTTTTCATAAAAACTTGATTGCTTCTTTCTACTTCTCACTCTTTATGTTACACTTTCATTTCATGCTGGTTTTCTTCTTTTTCTTATTTTATTCATTAACTAAACATGATGATATGCACTGTTATCTAAAATTCTGTATTTCTTCCTAATTAAAATGTAGGCAATAAATGAAGCAGTGTCATGAACTAACGTGGAAGTTCTCCCAGATGATGATGACTGAAAGAAGAAAACAGCAGAACAAAATGTTTAGTGTGACGTCACTTATGTATGAGAGAGAGAGATAGGAAGGGAAGGGGAAGGCAAAGCAAGACAATGCTCAATCAATGTCTAAATATAAATAAAAGAATAGCTGTTCTGGAAGGATCTTTTCTCCCACACCATTGTCAAGGAGTGTTGGGGGAGGAGGAGAAGTAAGATTAGATCAAGGGTGGGGAACTATGGGACACTTTTACCCTATATACTTTTGTTGTTGTTGTTATTGTTGAGACAGAGTCTTGCTCTGTCTCCCAGGCTGGAGTGCAGTGGCTGGATCTTGGCTCACTACAACCTCCACCTCCTGTGTTCAAGCGATTCTCCCGCCTCAGCCTCCAGAGTAGCTGGGACTGCAGGCACCCACCACCAGCCCGGCGAATTTTTGTATTCTTAGCAGAGACAGAGTTTCACCATGTCAGCCAGGCTAGTCTCGAACTCCCGGCCTCAAGTGACCACCCGCCTCGGCCTCCTGAAGTGCTGGGTTTACAGGTGTGAGCCACTACACCCCGCTCTAGTTTTTACTATATACTTTAGTATTGTTTGAGTTTTTAACAACAGGAAGTATGCATTTATCGCTTCTATAATTTTATAAACGTAATGGGGAAATGGAATGAAGAAAATACTATTTTATTGCACAATTGAATTGGACTTTTCTATTTTCTTTCTTTTGGTTCAGCCGCCTAATAATTTTTCTCTTCCTCTCTGTGGGTTTTGTTGTTTTAATGAAAATGCCTCCCACGCTAAGCCTGGCCCTCAGCCTGCCAGCGTTTCCGCCTGGCTCACGGTGTTCCACGCTGTTCCTCCAGGCGTCCCTGAGGGCCTCCATCCTCGCGCGGGACTGTGCCGCGGCGGCAGCTATTGTGTTCTTGGTGGACCGGTTCCTGTATGGGCTCGACGTCTCTGGAAAGCTTCTGCAGGTCGCCAAAGGTCTCCACAAGTTGCAGCCCGCCACGCCGATTGCCCCGCAGGTGGTTATTCGCCAGGCTCGAATCTCCATGAACTCAGGTAGGCGTCCTCCTGCTGGCTGTCCCCGCGTCCTCGGTGTCGTCTGGTCTGCGGCTCCCCTTCCTTCCCGAGCTACTTGACCTCCGCGGGACACTCGGGGCACCCGGGCCCTGCGTGCCACCTTTCCGAGCCCGGGGCTCCCCTCCCCCGCCCCTGTGCCCTTCCACCCGCCTCTTTGCCAGCACAAAGGCCCTGGCATAAAGGGTTTCAGAGCCAAAAGCAGTAGAGAAAATTGTGAAAGGGTGTGGAAAATACTAATTGGAGCTTTTGTCTTCTAACAAATCTGTCCTGCTGCTTTCAAACAGGGGTATCTGAATTGCTATACTTCTGACCAAGAGCCTTTAAAAAGCAGATTAGAATTCTACTATTTTCTCTTCGTTCTCCTGTCTCCTTTCTGTAGGGCCACTTGACTAAGCTAACAATGGAGCTGACAAACCCACTGAAGTAATTTGAGGGTTTTTTTCATCATTCAGAACACCGGTACAGTACCTGATTAGGTCTTAAAGTATCTTTTTTTTTTTTTCCTGTCACTTTGAATGAAATGAAAAAGGAGGCTGACATTCTAACTTAAGACGTGGTGTGGAGGAGGGCTGGAGGGGAGGGGGCCTGCTATGCATTACTGCGAAGTCCACTTCCATAGAATTCTTGAAGTATTTAAATTGCTGATCGCCATTAGATTTAGAAACGTGTAGCCTGTTATTCCTGTTTCCAAGACTGAAAAATAAAGGATGAAAAGAGAAGGCAAGTTACCCTTCCCAGAAATGGTACTGGTTCATTTTCTGATTGGTTTTAGCTATTGCTATTATTTTAATAACTCTGGTCTTTAAGAGGTTAAAATCTCTTTACTTCATTTCCTTTGAAAAGGAACTGTACTAGCTATGCTAAATAGGACAATTGCTGAATGCAGAGAGGGACAGAGACAAAAGGACATGGGAGAAATGGGCTAGTGGAGGTTACCTTTTCAAAAGCCCAAGTTCATTTACACTCTTGCAACTGTGCATAAATTGTGCATGTCTTGTTATTTACTATTCTCAAGTAACTCAGGGACAGAGTTGAACTTAGGAAAAATTTCTTCTTTTAAATGTCCCTGATGTAATTTACAGTGTCTGGGATATGAAGGAAACATAACAACTGTTGTTCCTTCTGATGGTGTCAGATGGCAGTGATGTGTGAGCAGGGCGTTCTCTGAGGGGAACAGAGTGGTGAGGGCTGGACGGGGCAGGAAGGGCTCTAATATTGGTTCTCATCAAGAAGAACTTGGAACAGAGTTAATGTAGCATATTTTATGCTATACAGCATTGTTACAGTGTGACATGGAAACTGAGGTCAAATGGGACGTTGACCTCAGGGACATCGATAGCTTTGCTTTTACATGGCCAAACTAATCTTTCAGCTTTCCATTTTTGTTTTGTTTTGTTTCGTTTTTGAGACAGAGCCTTCCTCTGTTGCCTGATCACAGCCCATTGCAGCAATGACTTTCACGGCTCAGGTGAAGCATCACCTCAGCCTCCTAAGTAGCTGAGACTGTAGGCATGCGCCACCACACCGAGCTAATTTTTGTATTTTTATAAAGACAGGGTTTTGCCATGTTACCCAGGCTGGTCTCAAACTCCTGCCCTCAGGTCATCCACAGGCCTCGGCCTTCCAAAGTGCTGGGATTACGGATGTAAGCTGCCATGCCTGACGAGGTTTCCTTTTTAAAATTTTGTTTTAGGAGGGTTTTTAAAATAATTTCTCTCAAGGTTCTAACCAGGGGGTATATCAGTTTTCTCCTGACAATGAGAAAGCCTTGGTATGATCAGGATGAATAGGATGCTCCTTTGCTCACAGCATCCTGTGTCTAACATGAAGGTCCTGGATCTCTTCCCCTAATAGTTGGGGTTGTATTTTCCTCAAAGACACTATTAGAAGTGCCATAGGAAGACAAATACAGCCTCAGAGTTAAATCTTCTCACGTAAACGTCTACCCCAAAATACCTGGAGCTTCCACCTACACTGGGTATCTCAGATGGAGAGAAGGACCAGGGCTTAGAGCAGAGATGGTTTCGGGGCAACAGAAGAAGATTTGCTGAAAGGAGGCTCTCAGGCCCAGCACTTAGGAATCGTCGTGGGATGGAGAAGTGAAAGAGATTATATAATATTGTAAGGGTTAAGAAAGAAAAACAAAGGTAATATGAGAGGACAGCAGTCTTGCTATTATCCTTCTGATCCAGCACTTCCTGGTATCCACCACTGGATTCCACCCAGCAGCAAGAGAAGGCTGACAGGGCCTGCTCACCTCACTCTTGCCTGAAATTAGGAGACAAAACCTTTCCAACCACAGTAACAGATAAAGACTTAGATTTCCAATTCCATCAACATGGAGGACTGAGCAAGTGCAGAATCTTCTCCCATTACCAATACATAAACATGGCAAATTAAAGATTTGTAGGTATCTGAAACATAAAAGGTATTTAAAGTCACAGCAGTAGACTACCGCTTCTGACACATAGCCAAAGGCGCTTACACTTGAACAAAGTCCTCAAGGGAAGGTGCTGTCATTTTAATCCCTGTGCAGAGATGAGAGACAGTTGCCCACATAAGAAGCAAAATATTTGCATCAAGCTGGAATTCTTAAAGGTTTGCACAGGCTATAAAAGGAGACTGAACAATCAGTCTCACCAGCCTGCCCAGAGAATTTACAAGGAGGCTTGCTCTCTGTCCAAGCTCTGGGATGGAGGGGGAAAAAAAAAAGACTGGCCAGGTGGGGTGGCTCACGCCTATAATCCCAGCACTTTGGGAGGCCGAGGCGGGTGGATCACAAGGTCAAGAGATTGAGACCTTCCTAGTCAACATGGTGAAACCCCGTCTCTACTAAAAATACAAAAATTAGCTGGGCATGGTGGTGTGTGCCTGTAGTCCCAGCTACTCAGGAGGCTGAGGCAGAAGAATTGCTTGAACTCAGGAGGCAGAGGTTTCGGTGAGCCGAGATCACGCCATTGCACTCCAGCCTGGGTAACAAGAGTGAAACTCCATCTCAAAAAAAAAAAAAAAAAAAAACTCCCTCCTAAAATAAAAGTCTCAACTCTGCCAAATTTGAGCGTAAAGTCTGAATTTATTTTGCCCACAAAGCAGGAAACCCGCTATCAAATAATTAAGAAAAAAGTTGTTCAAGACTGAAATTTCTAGGCCTCAGGCGATCAAATGCAAAACTATGCTCTAAAGAAATGTCTGCTCCCCAGAGCCATGGGAATCTCAAAGGAAAATATTTTTGGCTAAAGATGACCTTACATTAAAATTTATAAGCAACAGGCTTGGTGGCTTACACCTATAATCCCAGCATTTTGGGAGTCCAAGGCAGGTGGATGACCTGAGGTCAGGAGTTTGAGACCAGCCTGGCCTACATGGTGAAACCTCATCTCTATTGAAAATTTTAAAAAATTAGCCAAGTGTGGTGACAGGCATCTGTAACCCCAGCTACTTGGGAGGCTGACGCAAGAAAATTGCTTGAACCCAGGAGGCAGAGGTTGCAGTGAGCCAAGATCATGCCATTGCACTCCAGCCTCCTGAAGGTGACAGAGTAAGACACTGTCTCAAAAAAAAAAAAAAAAAAGAGAGAGAAAGTTATAGTAATTGATGGGGAATTCCGCACAAAACAGACAGAGCATACAAGTTTGTTTTCATATAGACAGGACACAAGAATTCAACCATAAAACCATGGCTGAAGAGCACAGAACGCCCAGCAGCCCTCCCAGTTGGTGAGATAAGCTTTTGGCATTTCACATGCTAATAAGGGTGCCCAACTGCCAGCCACCAGACTGCTTCAATGGGGTGAATGAGATAAAATAAATCCTTCAAAAAATGAAGTAGAAAACAAAGATATAAAAATGCAAGCATAATGTATTTATCAGCTTCAAGAGTTATAAAATTATTTTGGCAAATGATAATAAAATTTTCTAAATGCCCACTCAGTTTTTCACTTAATCTCGATTCAGGCCAGCCACAACAAAACACAAATAGTAGTGCTCCTGCATACTGCTCCCCAAACTTCTGTGTATCTCTGAATCCCCTAGAGCTCTTTATTAAAATGCAGATTCTGATTCAGTAGGTCTCTGGTAGGGCCTGAGATGCTGCTGTTCTGTGAACCTTGCTTGACTAGCAAGGAATGATCTGAAGATTCTAACCGTGTGCCTGGCTGCCCACCTGGGACAAATGACCACTAACAACCTTAAAATCAAGGTACATTTTCTAGGGCCGGTTTTTCAGATGTTCCAACCACATAACCAACCTACCAGAAATGTACTCCTGCAAAAGCATTAACTAACAGTGGGGGAGAAAATTGTGGAACTGGAAACTGAATTTAAAATGTTAAGGATGAAGCATAGAGAGCTAAGTAGATGAACAAAGAGAAGTTTAAAAAACTCAAAGAGATTGAAAAAAACATAGAAGCATAGGAAGATTTCTAGCAGGACTGACTAGACTCAGAATTGGAGAAATTATGTCTTTACACTGAAGAAATATATCTAGCCTTGGGCAAAAAATTTTAGGCCAGGCATGGTGACTCACACCTGTAATCCCAGGATTTTAGGAGGCCAAGGCAGAAATCACATGAGCTCAGGAGTTCAAGACCAGCCTGGGCAACAAAGGGAGATCTCATCTCCAAAAACAAAAACAAAAACAAAATTAGCCAGATGTGGTGACATGTATCTGTAGTCTCAGCTACTCCAGAGGCTAAGGTGGGAGGATCTCTTAAGCCCCGGAAGTTGAAACTGCAGTGAGCCAAGATTGCACCACTGCACTCCAGCCTGGGTGAGAAACGAAGATCCTATAAAAAAAAAAAAAAAAAAAAAAAAAGTTAAAGAAATTTACATCTAGACCATACTTAGTATGACAAACTATAGAAAATCAAACAATAAGAAAGTCTTAAAGAAACAGACAGAAAAGACAGATTAATATAGCAAGTATAGTTAGACTAACAAAAAGTATCAATAATAAGAGTTCAGAAAGAAACAGAATCTGCA